CATTGTGAGTTTCTTCTGTTGTTTTATCAGACTTATCCATGTGTTCCTCGCCCGTAGTGGGTGTCTTTTCTGTAGTAGCAGATGGTATTCTCACTAATATCTCTGGCAATTGAACTCCACTTCAAGTAGTGATAGCTTGTACCTGTTCTTTAGGATTTGTTTCGGTATTGCTAGTTAGGGTCCCTTGAGTTCTGCATCATGTCATTCCATGAAACAATGTTCCTAAGAATTAGAGAATTTAACCACTTCCGTGCACCCTCCTTTAACGTGTGAGGAAATAGGCGCAGTTGAAGGGCATCCACAAACATTCCTTCGTGGCTAATCATATCGCATAGCATCAAGAAGGCCTGGATATGTTCATGAGGATTTTCGATTGATCTACTAGAGAACTTGATATCTTGATGATTTTAAATAAGTTGATGATGTCATGTCTAATATGGAAGTTGGCCTGCCCAAAAGACAGATAAATAATAGCCGATTGTACAAGAGCTGGCACGAGATTTACATAATCCCTCACAAAGCTTCTCCATGATTTGCTACTACCCTCGATTAATTTGGTTGGGGTAGTGGCAAAAGGTTCTAAGGGTTCTAAGCATGATACTGATTTTGATTTTTTTCCATATCTCTCGCTTGTCTCTGCTCTCTTCTTCGCTTCTGAAAGTTCTTTCGATTTTGAGGTCTATCGAAAGAAGCTCGATCTCATCCAAATTTTTGCATAAATTGTGATTTCCTAAAAAAAATAAAACGACATACTTAGATCGTTCAATGAATAGCCTAAAACAAATAAAATAAAGAAAAAAAGAAAAGGGAATAAAAACTTCAAATCTAAAAAAAACTAATAAACTCAAATTAAATAAATTATTCACCGAAAATGACGCCAAAAACTTATTCTGTGATTCCCGCAAGCATAAGGAATCGTTGTCCAGTAATAGATTTGGTGAGTTTAGAATATCGTCCCACGAAAAATAAAATTTAATTGAGTGCACTAGTCTTTAATTAAATTCAAAGTAAACAAACAAAATTGATTTTTGACATTTTATTATTCTAATTTAATACACGAAAGCTTGTAAAATTCATATTTAATACATGTATCGGAAGAGTGTATTGGATTATGAATCCACCTATTATTATCTATTCTAATTTTTGACTACGTAGCTAGTTTCGTTCTTGCATTCTTGACAATCGATAATTGTATTATAATTAATTTTTTTTCAAGACAAATAAAATCTATCATACTCATGACCCGAATCCATTCCTAGTCTGAATTCTAATGAAAATAACACATTTAATTTCACAACTATCTCAAAGATTGCACACGTGATAATTCTTATTTCTAAAATTTATTGCATGTGTTAGTCAAGCAGTGTTCTAGACTTATTGTGAACCTCCCAACACTACAACAAGCAACTATATATATTTAATTGGTGATCAAGCAATCAAATAATAAAATTAAGCATGCAAGATTAATCAAAAAACTGCAAGAATTTAACTAAACCACGTGTCTCAAATTAAAAATAAATAACAAAAGATTTCATCTTCATCCAATACATGAGAAGAATTAGTCTAACATAATATTAGAATTAAACATATAAAAGTGAAAGGATATCACCAAAAATTGATGGAACGTAATTAATTCCACACTTTTCTTGCTTTCTGCATGTGTGTGTATTTTCTCCAATTTCATCCGGCTGCCTATTTTCTTTTTCTTGCGTCTGTCGACGTGTATATATATTCAGCAAATAATGGCAGCCTCTTTTTTACCTGGTTTCTGTACTTATATATATAATCAAACTAGCCAATTGCTTTTCCTATCTTTGTTTTTCTCTCCCTTCAATGTGTACGAATATATGTAAAAATAGCACGCGGACCAATGTTTGACTCCACAACAAGTTCCAGCCGCTTTTTTCTATCTCTTCTCCTCTTTCCTTCGTGTGGATATATATGTGTATATATACAACCTCTCTACTGCCCAATTTATGTGTGAATCAAAGTCCAAAGATCCCTGTGATGTGTACATGTATATAAAATTCAGCAGCCAGCCCTATTTTATTTACAAAAGAACTCCACTTTTCCCTTATTTTAGCAATATGTCTGCCCTTTTATCAATTGGACCAGCCCAGTTAGTGAGATATTTCAATTCAAGGTACACTATTTTCCCTTAAATGATGTCTAGTCCTTGATATGAATTTTATTTGTACAACCAATGTCCTCCTCAATTTCAAATTCGTGGAATTTAATCCCGACTTATAGATTTGACTTGATTTTGCCCTTTTTCCTTTCCAATTGCTTCAAACGGGTTCGTCACTAAAAATAAAATAAAATAAAATTAACCCAAGTTAAATAGAAATTAATAAATTAGCGAAATAAAGTTCAATAAGATGGTCTAAATAAGTACATAAATTGCACTCATCAGAGTCCGTAATCATCCATTAATAGACATTCATCACATAAATATTTTCTATATAATATCAAATTGATTAATCATATTAATTAAGTAATTTAATTGGAGGGCCTATTTAATCAAAACCAAATTTTAATTAAATCCCGGATTAGAGTCCAACTCTAATACCATAATTATAGGATGAAGTAATTTAATTAAAATCAAAATTTTAATTAAATATTAAATTATAGTCCAACTCTAATTCTTTAAAAACTTAGGGTAGGATAATTGAATTAAAATCAAATTTTAACCAATTATTAAATTAGAGTCCTACTCTAACTTCAAGACATATTGGGAATTTATATTAATTAAAATCAAATTTTAACTAACATTAGATTAGAGTCCAACTCTAATTAAAATTGAATTAATATTTTAGTTTAGGACAAAACCCCTAAATAAAACAAAAATTCAGTTCAGGGTCAAAATTAAATATTTAAGTTAAAATCTAATTTTAACAAAATATAAAAGTTGTCAATTTTAAATAAAATTTCAATTCTTGGCCAAATTAAAGATATGGGTAAAACATAATAAAAAAACCCAACTTTAAAACTATCTAACATCGACGCCGCTTGTCCAGCAATGGCGACGGCAAGCTGCCAAATCCACTATTTTTTTCAACTTTTCAAAACAAGGTTTTGAAGATAAAACAAATATTATAATTGCTAGATTCAAGAGCCACATGAAAATTCAATCTTTGATTTCATCAATATGTACATCAATTCCTAAAAAACACAAAGGAGGCTCTGTACTACTGTTAGGAATTTACTTATCATTTACTAAAGATTTGCTTTGTATTTAGATAGAAATTGTGATAAAAGTTATACATTTTTCCTAGATCTGCAAATTCATTTACTTTTCCTTTGTTTCAACAACCTTGATCTGCCATCCACAACTGTTCATTGTTCAGCCTCCAATGAAATTCCACATAAAGAATAATATTGTAGGGAACCAGGGTTATCTCCTTCTTGTGCTAGCAATAATGAAAAATCTCTAAAAATTGAAAATCATAGTCACTTATTTATACAAGCCCAAACGGGCTTGGCCTGACCCATTTTAATATTTAATTAACACATTTAATTAAATTCGGTTTGTAAATTAATTAATCTAATTAATTAATTCGGGCCTATAGATAAGCAACTCAATTAATTAATTTATCCAACACTTGTTAAATTAATTAATTGTCAAATCATCTCCTTCTCTGTGCAGCCTATTACGTTCCCGATCACGGTGCCTAACTATGTAAATTGTTATTTTGATCTAATCAAAATCAATAAATTAAAACACTTTTTTAATTTATCATCAACTCACATTCGTCGTACCAAATTGACATCTAGCAATGTTTCGAGACTATACATGTGACCAGAAATGTCAAGTGGCATGACAAAACCAAACTCGTTCGTTTACCGTAAAATTATAATCCCTTAATTATTATAATCTAATCAATTACGAGATATGAAAGTGTGTCAATCCCAATTATTGATCATATCTTTCATTCCAGAATTAAGTCAGTATATATCGAAAAACTCCTTTTCGACTTCTGAATATATCTTGGCCAAGTATTACATTCAGATAGTTATTCAAGTGGAATCACTCAGCTGGTCTCAAATACTTTGTTCTATAACAAAATATCCATGCATTCATTTAAATGTACCACACTTTAACTTGTAAAATTAGCTACTTACTTCACAAGTAAGAAGTACCACACATGGTGGTTTATCCGTAATAATGATATACATATTGCGTTATTACTTACGACCATGGATTATTTAAGATCCAATTATATGTAATTTGTATCTCACAATCGCAACTCCTTATGATTAACAAATCATAAAAACTTGAATCTACGAACTCTATTATGTAATACTATTCATCATGATATTAATTTAAATAAATAATAGATCTTGCCAAAAAATTAAATGTATTAAACATATTAAAAATTTTTACAATCTAAATTGATTGGACCTAGGGCATAATATTTACAGTCATAAGGACCAAAACTATTCAATCGAGCTCAAGTTTAATAGTATCTGAGCATGAGGACTTTGGTTCGAGTAATTCGTTAACCCAACAAAGCTTAAGATCGGTTTATCAGGTGTTACATATATAATCGGGCTCTATATGTGAAAGCAAGATACTCTTCCTCTTCCGTGAAGAAACTTGTCATTGATATTGGATATTCTTTTCTCCGCAAAAATTGCCGAAGTCCAGCTGTGGCACTTTATATTCCTCACATTAGCCTCATTGAAGTGGGATCATATTATGTGTAGAAATTACTATTCCATGTTTGGCGAACTCTATAGGGGTGCAATGTGCATTGACCTATAGACAGTGGCGAATCTAGCATCAACATTCAGTTAGGGCGGAGGTTGACTTTGACCATTGACCATCGACGATCGTAAAAGCCCGGTTCGGTCGGCGGCCGATTGTTTATTAAAATTAGATTAAATAATATTATAAATTATTCAATATATATGTAAATGAACTAAAATCTAGAAAATATATACATATGAAAATATAGTTTAATACAACCTAAAATGCTAAAAAAATATACAATACAACCTTACTCTGAAATTGTAAGCTTAGACAACTGAATTCTACGAGGTCGAATATTTTGAAAACGTTGCAATATTGTCTCATTCTCAAGTTTCATAAAAAGATCTCTCTCCATGTAAACTACCAAATTGTCATTCAACAATTCTTCTCCCATTTTGTTGCGCAGATCATTCTTGATTAGATTCATAGCAGAGAATACCCTTTCAACACTTGCAGTTGCCACAGGTAATATCAAAACTAATGTGATCAGCCTATAAACCCATGGAAAATAACAAGAACTTCCAGTTTCAACCAACTTCTGAGCTACACAAGATATACTTTTGAGGTTGAAGAAAGCTTCATCCATTCTCACGAGCATAAGAAACTTGTCAAGTTGAGGTCTAATTAATAAAAGCTCTTCACTATTGAAATCTATAGGATATAACTGAGCAAGTCGTACCAATTTACATACATCAAAAGCTGCAAATGAATCTCTTGGACTTAAACACGAAATGCAAGTAAAAAGCTCAGTAGTTGTTTCTGGAAAACGATCATTCAACTCTTGCAAGATTGAATCTATCACATAACAAAACAAATCAACATAAAAACAATGATAATAAGTCACCTGCTGACTTGCACGCCTAGGTCGACCTTTCGATACTACAATATCATCCATATTGGGCACTGAAATATGTCTATCAACACAAAACTGAATTACCTTACTCAACAAAGTATCCCAACCATTGTCTCTCATGTTCTGCAATGTGCACTTACACAACTTCAATAATCTCATAGCATTCTGAATATTCTGGTCCTTTTTCTGTAAGGCTTGTGAAAGATCGTCTGTAATTGCAAGAATTTCAAACATAAAATGGAAACGGAACACAAATTGAAAAGCTTGCATAGTGTCCATCTATCTGATGGCCATTGATTTTTGTTGTAAACTTATGCCGTCTTCTGATATATTCTCAAGAACATCTATGATCGCATTAAACATACTAATAATGCGAGTAACTGTCTTTAGATGTGAGCCCTATCTAGTATCACCTGGACGTGCCAAACTCATTTCTTGAAACCGACTAGTTCCACCAAAAAGTTCCTCAATATTAAGCCTCTCCAGAATTTCAATATGATAACTTGTTCAAAGAGTATCTACACGTTTACATGATGCACCAACCAAATTCACAATAATAGCAAGCATGTTAAATAAATCACTAAGCATAACATTCCTATGTGCCATAGAAACAACTGCCAACTGAAGCTGGTGAGCAAAGAAATGAATATACATAGCACATGGGTTCTCTCTTAAAATTAAAGCTTTTAAGCCATTGAACTCGCCTGACATATTGCTTGTTCCATCATAACCTTGACCTCTCAGACTAGATATGCTCAACCCATGTGTAGAAAACGTTGCATTAATGGCATCCTTGAGTGATTGGGCACAAGTATCAGCGATGTGGCAAATGCCCAACAAATGCTCCTTCACTTGTCCACTTTTATCAACAAACCTCAAAACAACTACCATTTGTTCTTTTATAGAATTATCACAAGACTCATCAACCAAAATTGAAAACAAGGAATCGCCTATCTCATAGATCATAGACCTTGTTGTCTCTACAGCACAACAATTAACCAAATCATTATGGATGCTTGGTGAAGTCATTTGATCATTTCCAGGAGCATTACTAAATAGTACTTCATTAATTTTCTTACGACGAGTTGCATACCAATTTAGTAGCCCAATCAAATTTCCTTTATTAAGAGACTCTTTCGATTCATCATGACCACGAGATGACAATCCTTGCATCAAGAGAAATCTAGTACAATCTAGCATCGCAGTCAACCTTGTCCTATAATTTTTTTGTTGACTACTACTTTGGCTAGAAATAACATGGGAGATACTTTGCTTTTGATTCATCAAATTGGTACACTTTGCAAAAGCTTGATTATGAGCACTATCAATGACCCCGACATGATCTTTCAATGTACTTTTGTGCTTCTAATCCCTAAAGCCAGTCTTAGTGAATATATGTGCACCCCCTTGACCCCCTTGTATCTGGTTTGAATAAGTAGCAATGCAAACAATAAGCCGCATCATTTTCTATACTGTAATCCAACCAATAAAATTCAGAAAACCATTCTCTTCGAAAACACCTATTATCATTTCCTATCCGTCTTCTTGGAAAGTCAAGTCCATGTGGTTGACAAGGACCTTTTTGCAAATATGCCATCCTAACATCATCTCTGATATTAGGATCATATGACTCGATAGGGGGACATTTTCTTGGATCAGATATAAGATCATCTACATTGAATTGAGCCCGAGACTTCTTTGTGCTATTTAACAACTCGAGTGCTCGTCTAGAAGCAGTGGCGGGACTAGAAGCACAACTAGAACTAGGAGAACTAGGTATAGACTTTCGTTTCAGTTAAAAAATCGTTCCATAATCTACAAAATGCCCCAATTTAATTTTCAATTACAATTCATTAAAAAAACAATTCAACAAAAAAATCCCCTCCACTGATGATCAACAATTCAACAATTTTCATTTTCATTTGCTCAATAGACAATACAATAGGATCCAATACAATAGCATTAAAGAAGAAAATAAATTAAAATCTGGTCCAAATTGTCCAATGGATGCCGATGCATGCAGTAGTGCAGAGTGCAGTACAATAGCATTTTCAACTCATTCACAGATTCACTTCGAAGTTCACATAATCAGTATTACAAAATATATAAAAATGTATTGCAAATTAAACTCATTCACAGATTCACTTCGAAGTTCACATAATCACTTTAATAAATTCCCACAAGTATTGCAAAATATATAAAAATGTGAAAAATTTTAGTACTGGAGCCTGGAGTTGTAGACTTGCAGCCAAAATGAAATCCAAGATTTTTGGAAAATTAGATCAATATGAAAATATCACGAATCAGAATCACCGAACATCAATTCATCAAATAACTGAAAGTCTAAAAGAATCTTGCATTTTTTGAAGAAGAGTGCGACCTGTGCCGCTGTGCGGGCTACCTGCTTCACTGGACGGTCTGGACTCGATGGCGATCTGGCGAGTGGCACTATAGCGTCTGCTAGCTGCTGTGGCCTGCGGTAATGGTAGACCGATTGACGGCTAAGACAGGGAGAGCCCTAGATTGGTAAATGGTAATGGTGGGTGGTGGCAATTTGGAGAAAAATCTGGGAATCTTCAATCTGATCACTGCGTCTGCGCCTCTGGCTCTACTTCAGGTTGTAAATTGTAATTGTAAAAATCTGGGTATATTGGAGTGGAGCAGGTTGCAGGTCATTTGGGCATCTTTAATTGGGTCGGATTTTAAAAAAAAATGAAGCCCAACAACCAACAGCCCAACAGGCAACACCCAAGCTACTGAACGTCTGGAATTCTGAAGGAAAAAAATTGATTTTTCGGCGGTCGGCATGGCAGTTCCGGTGAAGCCAGCTAGGGTGGCTGCCCTAGCTGGCCATAAGCTACATCCGTCCCTGGTTGGATCGGTTGACGGCTAAGACGGGGAGAGCTCTAGATTGGTAAATGGTAATGGTGGGTGGTGGCAATTTGGGGAAAAATATGGGAATCTTCAATCTGGTCACTGCGTCTGCGCCTCTAGCTCTGCTTCGGGTTGTAAATTGTAATTGTAAAAATCTGGGTATGTTGGAGTGGAGCAGGCTGCAGGTCATTTAGGCATCTTTAATTGGGCCAAATTTAAAAAAAAAATGAAGCCCAACAGCCCAACAGGCAACACCCAAGCCACTGAACGTCTGGAATTCTGAAGAAAAAAAAACTGATTTTTCGACGATCGGCGTGGCGGTTTCGGTGAAGCCAGCTAGGGCGGCCGCCCTAGCTGGCCATAAGCTACATCCGCCCTTGCCTATAGATCATTTTGATAGGCTAATGATTTTGAGTTGGGTCTAGAAGTGCAAGTAACAAAGAAGCTGCTATAGGTTTTTCTGTTGGCACTCCTTCCAAGTTCTATGTATGTAGAGAGCTCTAGTTTTAAAGGCACTAGTTGTAGTTACTATCCCTTTTACGACAGCAAGTTTAAAATGAGTTTGAATTAGAAATTTGTTTCGAGCTCGAACTGCTTTGCTTCTTGGAAATATTTTCGTTTTTCATTGTGAGATAATTTGAAAAGCTAAAGGTGGTGTGCACATATGACTGGTCGTGTCTCAGAACTCTACTGCTCAGCTTTCATCAGTTTTATGTAATTTTTTTCATCCAAGTTATTCGATTTCATTTCCAGAATGAACCCTTTTGATAAAAGATTTATGCTATGTATTCTATGGAATCAGTTGACCACAAACATCAATGTTTGCTCCATTTGGTTATTTCTTTTGGGCAAGGGTAGTTCTGTTTCTCTCTTTCACTTTTATATGATGTATGAAGATTGATTACTGTTCAAATGTATAAGAGAAGATGCAATTAATGTTGAAATTAGGTTATTTTATTTCTTTATTTTTTTTCGTGAAACTAGTCCTTCAATTTTGAGTTGACAACAAAAAGACGGATAAAAGTATGAAAAAGAATTGTACAATTGGATCCCGTGTATTCCTATTAACCAAAAGTGCAGTTAGAATTTTTCAGATGATGCTCCCATTTGGAATCACTATACTCCTTAATATATTGCTATCCCTACTGAGATGATATATCCATTCTCATCATTGCTTCCTTCTTGCACATTATCCCTGTTTATAATCTGCATTGCGTACATACATGTATAAAAGTGCAATCTATTTTCAACATTTTCCTTTTACGAGTTCACTAATGGTGTGTTTGATTGGCTTTATTTTCCATGAAAAATATCCCTTTTTCCACCTAAGTTCCTACTTTTCGAATGTTTGATTGATATTTTTTCCATAAAAAATATTTTCTAGAAGGTGGTCACATGAACTGTGTTTTCCTCAAAAACTATGAAAACATTTTCTTTAGAGGGTAGGTTTTTATTTTTTGAGCAATTCAAACTACCCAAAAACACTTTAAATGAAGCACGTTTAATTAACAATTTTCATGTAAATAAGTTCCAGACAATCCTTATTTTCTGTCCATGCAAAATTCCACACTTGTAATCAAACACACCCTAATCGATATTCAAAATAGCAAAAATTTGATCGAATGATTGCACTTACCCGAATCCTAGTATTCTTGTCATCTATAGCTCTTTTTATGTTTTAAACTTCTCGGATGCAGACACCTCTCTCTTCCCGTGCTCCATTCTGGATATTGTTCATCTATTTCATAGTTACATTCAAGAAACAAGAAATTCAGGACAAAAGGTAACTAGTTTGGTTCACTCTTCTTGCTGATCTAATAAAATTGCCGAAAAAGAAAAATGAAAAAAAGAAAGAAAGTGTGTGCTTCTTACTTGATAGGTATCGAAACCCATAATGACAGAATCTTCGATGATGACTCCCTTACCAATTCTTGCTCTCATTCCTACAACCATACCTTTTATCATGCATTTCTGTTTGTAAGGAACACGAAGAAACGATAGATCAAATAGGTTTGCATATATTGTTCATGAATATAAATGAAAAATATATTTATATTGGGATTCTACTTCTTTCGCTGAGAATGCAACCATCTCCAATGACAGAATATGTAATAAGAGCATCGATTATTGGAGTTGGAGGCAGATTCCTAGGTAAAGTGTACACCGGAGAGTCTTTGTCGTAGAAGCTGCTAACAAAAGATGATGTATTCAGTAAAATGATGCATAGACTTTATTCTTTCATCTGTTCGGGTATTTGAAGCTACTTACCTGTATGCATCTTTTGTTTTTCTGGTGCTTTCCATGTTAGCTTGGTAGTAAGCTCCAATGCTTCTCATGTCCTCCCAAAAACCATCAAATTGATAAGCACAGATCTAGACGTTGCATGAAAGTAAGATTTCCTTATAAAATATAAGGTGGGAAATTGATCATGGGCGGATCCAGGAATGGGTTGGGCCATGCTATAGCATGTCCCTCTAGCCCAAATGTCCATTAAAAAAAATTAAGTAAAAAAAATATATTTTTTTTATAAGTATTAGCCCGTCCGCTGAAATTGATGGAATCCATTTATTAATAAAAATAATTTTAAAAAGCCAACCTTATTGCATCAACAGTTCCCTAAAGAACGTTGAAACGTACCTTGAAGTAAAAAAATCGAAAAAGAATTTAATGAAGTAGATCCAACTGCAATGTTATTCATTTAGCCTGAAACCAGTCTTGGTCTTCTGGACTCTGATACGCTGCTATAACTTCAACGAATCCCTCTTTTCCAAGACGTGCCCCAGCATAAGCTCTTGAAAGGTGAGAATTTAGAGAAGTAGAGTTAAATTGCGTAAGAGCGTAGATTTTGGTAATATTGCTATTGATGCAATTGCTGACAACTGCATCAATTAGTCTGTAATTTCTTGATATAGGAATGGCACTTTCTGCTCTTCCCTTTGTCAATGGATAGAGTTGTGAATGTGAACCATCATCAAAAACAATTGCTGCAACACTTTGACACTTAAAATGTGTCAACACAATCATAAGATATATTCATTGTTAACAAAATACAATGTTAGGAAATTTCACAAAATCTTGAACTCAATAAATTATGACCTCGTTTGCCGGGGGGAACAAAAAAGTTCGACATTCATACTGCTGTGAATTTGTTATCGATAAACTATTAGGAAAGGCTGTAATGAAGATTGGTGAAGGTTTGTCACAGTTAGACAATAGCCTAATTTTGAGATTGAATGAAGGAGAAAGAGACATCCGATTAAAAGATTTGAATCGATGGGTGTAGGAAGAATGTAAATAATATAAATTATAGATTGTAATTTTAGGTT